TGCCGTTTTTGCAGGACAAAATACTGGGACTAGGGGTATATGAGTGGGGCTACATAAGCTAATTTGCCGACTTTAAAATAGACGAGATCCAACACCGACCGTATTGTAACGCTTCGCTTCATGTTGTAAGCAGACCTCACAGAGCAGAATCATTGAAAAATACTACAGCGGTCACTTTTAGCTTGTCTTCCGTCATCAGCCAGCCAATCAATTTCAAACCGTGCTATCTACAGAGGCATGTGAGACCATGGTGGGCAGATTTCCACCGAAACTCCGATCCTGAGTCCATTTGCTTACACTAGATGGGCTAGTTCATGAAATAATAAATAAAATTCGGAAAGGTGTTTTGGGTTTAATAGAATATTGCTAGCAATCCATCGTGAGGACGCCAAATTCTAAAAGCCCCCTGGCCAAGGTTCTTACGAACATTATTTTCAAAGTTTTTAAATCTTGATAATGACCTACGTTGCGCGCGTTTAATGAGTGGAAAGTGAACAGTAGAAGCTAAATTAAAGCCACTTGTAATTGTTTACCTGTTTAACATCAGGAAAGCATAAAATCGACCAAAGCAAAATCCTGCAGGTCAGCAGGACAGGATGCATACTGGCCAATAAGAATGTCAGGAAGAATCCTGTTGGTAAACGTAATGAAGGAAGCGGTTGACTAAGCCGAACTTCGGCCTACTGAAAACTTGCAAGTGGTTTTTATCAATATCAACCCTCAGAGGGCGTCTACGGGTGTATGCCAAAATACTGTATAAAGGTTGACATACCTATATAAATAATAATTATGTAATAATGTAATATATGCGCGTTTACCGCCAGCAGCTGTGCCGCCTTCAGACGTTGTTGACACAGCTGCAGACTCTCCCGCAGACTGCCAATCAGGGCAGACTGATGTTGTCGCTCATCCTCGGCTCGAGCTCTCCGCTGCTGGAAGGCACTCCGCTCACTGCCGTAGGCTTCCAGAAGGGCCCAAAGTTTGCGTCTTAACAGGCCGGCAAAGGTTTGCGCTACCTAGAGAGATTACGCAGACATACAAGGGGAAGGTGTGATCACTAGAACAAGAATTATTTATTCGCTTGACGCTTCTAAATCTGTCGTGCGGATCTAGCCCCACAGACAAGAGCAGACACGGGATAAATAGATACTTATTGTTAGGAGGGCCCAATACTCGCGCCGTCTTCTAGACAGGATAACAAAAACGGAACACGCGA